GGAGAGAGAGAGAATCCCATGCAGCCTCTGCACTGTCAGAGCAGAGCCCAATGTGGGGCTCGAACCCACAAACCATGAGATCATGGCCTGAGCCAAAATCAAGTGTCTGGTGTTTAACCGACTGAGCCACTCAGATGCCCCAGATGTTCCTTGTCTTTAACGCCCTTAACAGTGTTGACGAGTATTGGTCAGGTATTTTGTTGGATGCCCCCCATTGGAATCTGTCCTATATCTTTGTCATGATTAGACTGAGGTTATGGGTTTTGTGGAAGAAGACCATAAAGTACTATTTCATTACATCATGTTTTATCATTTCATGACATACTATCAGCATGATAATGATATAATAATTAATAACCATATAATAGATAATATAATATGGTAGATTAAATGATTGCCTTAGACAGTTTTTGTGTTTTATTGGTTTTGTTTTGTTTTGTTTTTGTGGTACTTTTTTCCCAAAGAATTAGTTCTCACATTAGTTCTATTGTTTTTCGATTTTATTATGCTTAATTCACGTATTTTCATTTTTTATACTTACTAGTATAAGTACACCAGCCGTGATTTCCTCTGAGTAGTAGGATCCCACAGGTTTTAAGATATGGAATGTGTTTTGTTATTCTCACTCTGTATATATTCTTCAAATTCTATGTAGGTTTCTTTTTTGATTTGAGTTGTTTAGAAGAAAGTTTTTAGGGGCACCTTGCTGGCTCAGTCGATTAAGCTTTCGACTTTTGGTTTCAGCTCAGGTCATGATCCCATGGTTCATGGGTTCAAGTCCCACGTTGGGCTCTGCTCTGATAGCATGCAACCTGCTTGGGATTCCCTCTCTCTCCTTCCCTCTGCCCCTCCCCCCACTCATGCTCCCATGCTCACTCGCTCTCTCTCTCTCTCTCAAAATAAATAAATAAACTTTAGAAAAAACAGTTTTGTAAAATATCCAAGTGGTAGGGTTCTGTCTCATATTTTTGTGATTAATTTTTAGTTTTTTTTTTTTTATGTTATTAGATTCTGTATTATCTCTGCTTTTTTCGTAAGGTTTACTTGTGGCCTGATAAATGGGAAATGTTTTGATATATACTTCAATTAACCCTGCCTTATTAATTATGCAATTTTTATTTTTTTATGTCCTTTGCTAATTTGGTTCACTGATCTGTCAAAAGCTTACAAAGGTACATTAAAGTCACCTGCCTCTGCTGTGTATCTATCTGCCTGTTCTTCCTTGTTATTGTCTGTAGCTTTTGATCTGAATTTTGGTGCTATTATTTGGTATGTTAGAGCTTTAATATTGTTGCCTCTCTTTGCTTTGGAGATACCTCTTTTTAAAAAAAAATTTTTTTAATGTTTATTTTTGAGAGAGAGAGCATGAGTGGGGGAGGGGGAGAGAGAGACAGAAACACAGAATCTATCGGAAGCAGGCTCCAGGCTCCGAGCTGCCAGTACAGAGCCCAACTCAGGGTTCGAACTCACAGGTTGTGAGATCATGACCTGGGCTGAAGTCAGAT